CAGTTCTTCTGTGTATTCTTGCCACCTCTTAATATCTTCTGCTTCTGTTAGGTCCGTACCATTTCTGTCCTTTACTGAGCCTATCTTTGCATGAAATGTTCCTGTGGTATCTCCAAGTTTCTTAAAAAGACCTCTAGTCTCTCCCATTATATTTTTTTCTTCTCTCATTGAATTGTTTCCTGGAAAAGGCTTTCTTACCTCTACAAAAACTTGTTATTTTCCGGAACTCTGCATTCAGTTAAATATATCTTTCCCTTTCTCCTTTGCCTTTCACTTCTCTTCTTTCCTCGGCTATTCGTAAAGCCTTCTCAGACAACCACTTTGCCTTCTTGCATTTCTTTTTCTTAGAGATGATTTTGGTCACCACCTCCTGTATAATGTTATGAACCTCCATCCATAATTCTCCAGGCTCTGTGTCTAACAGATCTAGTCCCTTGAATCTATTTGTTACCTCCACTGTATAATCATAAGGGATTTGATTTAGGTCATACCTGAGTGGCTTAGTGGTTTTCCCTATTTTCTTCAATTTGAGCCTGAATTTTGCAACTGGGAGCTGATGATCTGAGCCACAGTCAGCTCCAGGTCTTATTTTTGCTGACTGTATAGAGCTTCTCCATCCTCAACTGCAAAGAATATAATCAATCTGATTTCAGTACTGACTAAGGTGATGTCAGTACGCCACCAGATGATGATGTCCATGTGTAGAGTTGGAGTGATTGCCAGTATGTACAGGGTTTCTTCTTGAAGTGATGAAAATTATCTAAAATTAAACTGCAGTGTTGATTGAGTAAATTTTTAGATATACTAGAAACCATTGAATTTTATACATCAAATGAGTAAATGTATGATATGTGACTTTTTTATCAATAAGCTGTTAAAAAGAGTGAACTGAGGTTTACAACTGTGAGGATATACATGTGAATGCATCACCTACATTAATATCAGAAAGGGGAAGGAAGGAGAAAAAGAAGAACAAACTTAGCCCAAGATAGCAAAAGGAAAGTGAAAGTGAAAGTTACTCAGTTATGTCTGACTCTTTTTGACCCCATGGACTTTGTCCATGGAATTCTCCAGGCCAGAACACTGGAGTGGTATCTGTTCCCTTCTCCAGGGGATCTTCCCAACCCAGGAATTGAACCAGGGTCTCCTGCATTGCAGGCAGATTCTTTACCAACTGAGCTATCAGGGAAGCCTAGCAGAAGGAAGGAAATAATTAATTAGAAGAAAACTAAATGAAGCACAGAATAGGAAAACAATAGTAATAAAAAAAGACAAAGCTAGAGTTTGGATTTTTTGAAAAAAGAAAATGAATAAATCCTTATGAGGCTAACTAAGAAAAAATAATAACAGCCAAGACTCATAATCAGAAATAAAAAAGGGAAAAGTTACAAGTGATGCAAAAAAACAATTTTAAAGGGTCAAACTCTTATGAACAATTATATGGACAAACTAGAACTGGACAAACTAGAAAAAAAGATAAATTCCTACAATCTACCAAGACTGAATAAATAGAAAATCTGAATAGACCAATGACAAATAAAGAAGACTATATAAGCAATCAAAAACCTTCCAATAAAGAAAGTCCCAGGACCAGATGACTTCACATGTAAATTCTACCAAATACTTAAAGAATTAATACCAATCTACCTTATAGTCTTCCAAGAAAAAGAAGACACAACACTTCCAAACTTATTTTATTAGGCCAGTATCAAATAAAGCCCAAGAAGACACTACAAGAAAAGAAAACTACAGGCCAATATCCTTCATGATCATGCATACAAAAAGTCTCAACAAATATTAGCACACTGAATTCAACAGTGCATCAGAAGGATCATACATCATGATTAAGTGGGATTTATCCCTGGAATGCAAAGATGGTTCAGTATTGATATACCACCTTGACAGAATGAAGATAAAAATCACACAAGCATCTCAATAAATGCAGAAAAAGCATTTGATGAAATTCGACACCATTTCATGACAAAAATTCTCAACAAATTAGGTATACAATAAACTTACCTCAACACAGTGAAGACCATAGATGTATGAAAAGCCCACAGCTAATATCATACTCAATGGTAAAGAGGTGAAGATTTTTCCTCTAAGATCAAGAACAAGGCAAGGATGCCCACATCCACCACATCTATTTACCATAGTACTGAGTGTACTAGTCAGAGCAGTAATGCAAGAAAAAGAAATTAAAAATATCTAAACTGGAAAGGAAAAAGTAAAACTCTCTGTTTGTAGACAATATTATATTGCATAAGGAAAACTAAGACTACATAAAATAATGCTAAAACTAATAAATGCAGTAAAGTTGCAGAGTACAAAATCAACATACAGAAATCAGTGCATGTTATACAATAACAATGAACTATCTACAAAGGAAATTAAGAAACTAACCCTAAAATTGCATCAAAAATCATAACATGCTTAGGAATAAACTAAGCCAAGGAGGTGAAAGACTTGAATGCTGGAAACTATAAAATATTGATGAAAGAAATTAAAGACATTAGTTAATAAATAAAAAGACATTCCTAGCTCATAGATTGGAATACTTCATATTGTTAAAATATTTATTCAACCCCAAAAGATCTATATATTCAATGCAATCCATACCAAAACCCTAATGGCATTTTTCTATATAAATAACAAAAACAATCCTAGTATTCAAATAACCAAAAGCACAGACGACAAAAGCAAAAGTAGACAACTGGGATTTTATCAAACTGAAACGCTTCTGCACAACAAAGGAAATCACCAACAAGATGAAAAGAAAAGGCATACTATGTAATGAAAGAAAATATTTGTAAATCATATATCTGATAAAGAGTTAATATAGAAAATATATAAGGAACTCCTACAACTCAATAGAAACAAAAATCAATGACCCATTTAAAAAATAGGCAAAGGAACTGAGTAATCACATCTTCAAGAAGACACACAAATGACCAACAAGTAAATGAAAAGGTACTCAGCATCACTAAACATCAAGAAAATGGAAATCAAAACTACAATGAGATATCATCTCTTACCAGTTGGGGTTATTTCATATATATATATATATATATATATATATATATATATATATATATATATACAAAAGTATTGGCAAGAATTTGGAAAAACTGGAACCCTTGTACACTATTATAGGGATGTAAATTGGTACATCCACTATAGAAAACAGTAAGGAGGTTCCTCAAAAAATTAAGAATAAAACCATGTTATCCAGCAATATCACTTCTGCATATTTAACAAAAAGAATGAAAACTTTGAGGAGATATCCAAACTACTGTGTTAATTGCAGCATTACTCACAATAGCCAAGACATGGAAGAAACTTAATGTCCGTTGATAGATGAATGACTTTAAAGATGTGAGATAGATAGGTATACACACACACACAGAGGAATATTTTTCAACCTCAAAAAAGAAAAATGTTTCCATTTTCAACAACATGGATGAACCTGGAGGACATACACTAGTGAAATAAGCCATATCCAAAATGATAACCATTACATGGCCCCACTCTCATGAAGAACCTAAAATGGTCAAATTCATAGAAGCAGAGAATAGAATGATTTTTGTCAGGAGCTGGGGAAAGGAAAACAGGGAAGTATTGGTCAAAGGATATAAAGATTCAATTATGCAAAATGAATAAGTCCTAGAAATCTACTGTACAATATAACATAGTTCCTATAGATAACAATACTGCTTTGTAAACTTTAAAATTTGCTATGAGGGTAGATCTTACATTGTGCTCATATTACAAAAAACAATAAACAATGATAACGGGGGAGGAAGGAACTTTTTGGAGGGGACAGATATGTTTACACCATCAATTGTGGTGATGGTACACTGTATATACTTATGTGCAAACTCTGCAAGTTGTATATACATAAGAATCTATGTTCTCTAAAAACATCAAAAGACTAGATTATAAAACCCATGAGAGTTTTGTTCTCTTCTATATGTCCAGCACCTATGAAGTATAAATAAATACTTGTTTAATCAACAAATAGGAAATAAAATACAAAACTAGTCAAATAAAATTAATAACACATGATTGAAATCTTGAAAACAGGGCCCCGTACTGTATGTTCAGGAAGCACTATCTGTAATCTTTAAGGAATCACTTGACACTGGAGAACTTCCATAACCTTTAAGTAACAAAATGGACAATGTTTCCAAAGAAAAAGAAAACAGCTATAGATCAAGGAAATTTGAACTGAATTTTTGAGCAAGTGTGGCCATCCAAGTTGTGACCATTAGGAAACATGATGACATTTTTAATCCAGTGCTTGACCAAGTGGTCTTGCTGGCTGATGGATTTACACAAATTCTCTCCTAGGGATCAAAACAAATAAACAAACAAACAAACAAACACAATTACAGCAGGATAATGAAGTGGACTGTTGGCTTATTCCAGATATACTGACTTGAATACATATATGTCCCTGATGTCCTTTTATTTAATAGGTCAACTATAGAAAGACTGTTTCTGTTCGATAATTGACCCAGAAAATCTTCTATATGTAAGGATAATATGGTGCTCACCCACCATCATAGGAGCATGTGCCTTTGAGTTTTTTCAGGATTGATGAGTGATTGGCACTTCCCCATTCTTCTTACTCTAATTCTCCAATATTCATATCACACAAGTTGTCAGGGTTAAGATTAAAATTGTTAGGGTTGAGGATTCATTCCCCTACTCTCTGAAAAAAAAGTCAAATCCCTTGGGAGACACATCTAAGAACCTGTGGCTCAGATCCACTAAACAAACCTATACGAATGGCTCATTGAAGAAGCTTCTAATGTCCTGGGATTTTATTTCCAAAATATAAGAATTCATAATACATTCAAAATAAATTGATTATAATCTTTAAATTACAACTTTTAGTTCATTCATTTTATATCAATGTCATATGTAAACAAATGTCTAGTATCTGTACATTTTCCTCATAACTCACTAGTTACAGAAATCTTTTCTTTGGTAAATACCTTGTAACCAGGGCTACCCATTAATCCATCCTTTCCATGTCTTCCTGGTTCTCCCTGAAAAATAAGTAAAAGTATTTTAATATATTTTGGCACTAATGTTTCTTTTTTAAATGAAGATAGTACAGGATAAATTTTATTTAATGCAAACACTAAAGAAAATTTTCCATCAAACTCACAGCACGTCCAGGAAGGCCAGGAAAACCAGCATTCCCCTTTTCACCTTTTGCGCCCTGTTTTTAAAAACAAACAAAAACAATCCTTACAAGAAGGTTTTTAAATTCCAGCTCAAACTTAAATAGGAAAGAAAGATAATTTCCTCACGGACTGATAGAATTCATGGAACCACAGCTTGTGTTGGCCCTGCAGCTTTCGGCAAAGCACTATTTTATCAGGACACAACATGACATTGAGAATAAGATGGATACAGAATTACTAAAAGCATCTAAACACAGAAACCACATCTAGGCAGAATTAAAAAGAAATGTGTATCTTAAATATAGAGAGAACATAATTTCCCTTTGATGAGAAAAAATAAGATTCTCAATGGACACACTACTAAACAGCTACTACTTCCAAGTAATCTCTCTCTATAGATATTTTGAAAGTTCAGAAGGGTCAATAACACAAAGTATTCTTATAGAAAATCAAGTATAACAGTCAATAGTCATTTTTCCATTATTTCGTTGTTCTGAATAAACCCCACAGAAAAAGGTGAAAAAAGCTAATTGCCAGGAACAGTGGACTGGGACTGAAATTCCAATTTTCTATTTCCATTATATTGAAAGTTCAATATGATACTCTGTTTGGGGATCTAAACTTCCCTTTTTGCCATAAAATCCAGGTGATCCTTTATCTCCTTTGGGACCCATTTCACCCTAAAAGACAAAATATAAATCCTGAGTTTTAGAGAAGTATTTAGTATTTCTCTTATGGATTAAAGAAATACACCAATTATACACAATGGAGTTTACTACGCTAACATCAAAATAAAATAGAAATAAAATTATTTAAATTTTATTTACAAAAACCTTATATCCCAGGCTTTATAAAACAAAAGCAAGGAAAAGTGAGGGCATTTGTTACTCTAACAGGGCTTTATATGATAACAGTTAAGAAAATTTCTGTATAATCAAAGTTACTCAACAATTTTTAAATACTATAAGATTTATGGCTGAAAATTTTAAAGGAAATTTGTAAAAGCTTTATGTAAACTATATATTAATCTTAACCTAGTAATTTAATATATGAGCATTTATTGATAGCACATTTATAACATAGAGGACTTTCAATTTGAAGTAAAATACAACATTGCTTAATTTTATAAAGAACAGATATCTTCAACCTTTGATCCTGGTATTCCATGAAGCCCAGGAAAACCAGGAAGTCCACGGTCACCCTGAAAATAAAACAACTTAATTAAAGAAAACACATTTCAGCCTAAAAATATCAACATATAACTCTTCCATCTCATTCTTGACAAAATCTATTGGAAACAAATCTGCGAACAGTTAAATATACATCTATACTAAAACCCTGTCTCTATAAAAGACTAATCCTCTTTTAGCAGAGTTTCATTTATGATCAGAGAAGGAGAATATGAGAGGCCAGGGGAATCTCATCAACAGCCCTTACCCCACCCTTAGAGAGCAGTCATCTATTCTAAAAACACCTAGACTCTTATGTGGTAAGACCTAGGAGTTAATGGAAATGGCCAAGGGCTAATACTCTCCTCAAGAGAGCCATCCTCTGAGGTCCCAGCGCAGTGAGGATAGACCTGAGATGAAAGTCTAGGATTCTGTAGAGAATTTTTCTCCTATTGCTGATCTCAGTAAATTGTTCGTAGTAGGTGTCTACTCACATGTGTCCATGAAGAGGGAAGGACCTACATGATCTCCAGAAGAGGAGAGATGGAGAAAATCACAACAGCTTGGTATTTGGAGACATAATTTTAATACTTATTTCTGTGGGACTTAGTGCTGTTGTCTTAGCTTCAAAAATCTTAATTGTCAAGACACAGTTTCAAGAGAAGCCCAATGGCTCACTCAGCAAGATTTAGGTTAATTCACATTTATTTAGGCAAATTAAGACACTGCACACAAAAAATTTATGATTTCCTTAGCTGTCTGGTAGAGAGAGAAGAGGATGTGACCAGTTATCTATTATAAATGTAATTCTGAAAAATCTCAATTTTAATGAAGGTTGTTTATTCACACATTTTAAAGAGTTGACAGTTATTCAAGGCATAGAACCCTTGAAAGGCAACTCTTTCCACCCTAAATTCCAAGTCACCAAATCACATGGCTACCTTACTGCCCCGTTTTTCAGTTCCCAGCACTAAGTTAAAGGTGAGAGAACCACCTGTCTGAATTGAGACAAGAGTTGAAGGCCAGGTAGACAAAGATACACTCTTTATAAGATGGAATTTAGCTGGGTAATGAGTACTTAATAAAAGTACAAAAAGAAGGGTAAACTGAACTGCCTTTAAGGATGAACCTAGTCCCACCTAAGAATTCCATTCTCTGACTACTTAGAGAAGACACCATCTTCAAACTGGTGATGTTTTCCTGGAGATAAGATAAACCAACCTTGGATGAAGAGAGAAGACCAGGAAAATTAACCCACACTGGAACCAAGAAAACATAAAATCTGGACAAAACTACCCTCATGTGCATAAGCAAGATTTTTAAGTAAAATTAAAAGGCACAGCATCCATATTAATATCCAGCAATGAAGAGGGGAGGGGCAGAGAAACGGTAAAATGCTTGGAGACTACTAAGGCAATATCTACAAAATACAAAACACAAGAAAGTGCAACTCAAACCCTATACACTCAGCCAAGTAGTGTCCAAGGTTTAAAAGCAATAGGTGGTAAATAAGTTGTAAAAGTAAGCCAGTGTCTATCTACAATGGTTCTGTAATGTGAAAGACAAATAAATGCTGCTGGGTCAGCCATTGAGCAGTTGAGTCATCAGTTACTGCAGGACAGGTGAGCCTAAGTTGATTAATATAGAAATTTATCTACTAGGAAAAAGAGACTGCCAAATAATAATATAAAAAACAATAAATGTGGCGGTGGCTCTGAGGCTAGGGAGTGGACAGTGAAAAATAATTGTTGGAGGTTGGAAATACAGTGATTTATGTAATACAGTGAATATTTGATGAAAACTTCACTTGTAATAAACTGCTAAGGCAAAGAATGCATCCAATGAACTTAGCTAAAGAACCAAAAAACAGAATGACAGTATCATGAATCAACTGGTATTGGCTGCATTTGAAAACGGGACTAAAAAGAGATCAGTTCAGAAAAGAATCAGCCAGTTTGCAAGCTGCAATGAAAAGAACAGACCAAGTCTAAATATACTGGGATGCGGAGAATACACCTTTTCACCCCCATCTCTAATAGGCAAATAATGAAATTGGAGAAGGCCTTTAAGAAGTTCAGTCAAACCCCAGAGAAGAAACAACTCAAGTGTGTGGCCCTAAAAGCCATTCTCAGTTCAGTCAGTTCAGTTCAGTTCAGTCGCTCAGTCGTGTCTGACTCTTTGCAACCCCATGGACTACGGCACACCAGGCCTTCCTGTCCATCACCAACTCCCGGAGCTTACTCAAACTCATGTCCATTGAGTCGGTGATGCCATCCAACCATCTCATCCTCTGTTGTCCCCTTCTCCTCCTGCCCTCAATCTTTCCCAGCACCAGGGTCTTTTCCAATTAGTCAGTTCTTCGCATCAGGTGGCCAAAGTATTGGAGTTTCAGCTTCAGCATCAGTCCTTCCAATGAATATTCAGGACTGATTTTGTTTAGGATGGACTGGTTGGATCTCCTTGCAGTCCAAGGGACTCTCAAGAGTCTTCTCCAACACCACTGTTCAAAAGCATCAATTCTTCGGCGCTCAGCTGTCTTCAGAGTCCAACTCACATCAATACATGACTATTGGAAAACCCATAGCTTTGACTACATGGACCTTTGTCGGCAAAGCAATGTCTCTGCTTTTTAATATGCTTTCTCCGTTGGTCATAACTTGCTCCAAGGAGCAAGCCTTCAATTTCATGGCTGCAGTCACCATCTGCAGTGATTTTGGAGCCCAAAAAAATAAAGTCTCTCACTGTTTCCACTGTTTCCCCTTGTATTTGCCATGAAGTGATGGGACCAGATGCCATGATCTTAGTTTTCTGAATGTTGAGCTTTAAGCCAAATTTTTCACTCTCCTCTTTCACTTTCAGCAAGAGGCTCTTCAGTTCTTCTTCACTTTCAGCCATAAGGGTGGTGTCATCTGCCTATTTTAAGTTATTAATATTTCTCCTGACAATCTTGACTCCAGCTTGTCCTTCATCCAGCCCAGCGTTTCTCATGATGTACTCTGCATATAGGTTAAACAAGCCGGGTGACAACATACAGCCTTGGCGTACTCCTTACCTGATTTGGGAATAGTCTGCTGCTCCATGTCCAGTTCTAACTGTTGCTTCTTGATCTGCATACAGATTTCTGAGGAGGAAGGTCAGGTGGTCTGGCATTCCCATCTCTTGAAGAATTTTCCACAGTTTGTTGTGGTCCACACAGTCAAAGGCTTTGGCGTAGTCAATAAAGCAGAAGTAGATTTTTTTTTGAATTATCTTGCTTTTTTGATGATCCAATGGATATTGGCAATATGATCTCTGGTTCCTCTGCCTTTTCTAAAACCAGTTTGAACATCTGGAAGTTCACGGTTCACGTACTGTTGAAGCCTAGCTTGGAGAATTTTGAGCATTATTTTGCTAGTGCAATTGTGCAGTAGTTTGAACAGTCTTTGGCATTGCCTTTCTTTGGGATTGGAACAAAAACTGACCTTTTCCAGTCCTGTGGCCACTGCTGAGTTTTCCAAATTTGCTGACAGAATGACTGTAGTACTTTCACAGCATCATCTTTTAGGATTTGAAATAGTGCAACTGGAATTCCATCACCTCCACTAGCTTTGTTTGTAGTGATGCTTCCTAAGGCCCATTTGACTTTGCATTCCAGGATGTCTGGCTCTAGGTGAGTGATCACACCATTGTGGTTATCTGGTTCGTGAAGATCTTTTTTGTATAGTTCTTCTGTGTATTCTTGCCACCTCTTCTTAATATCTTCTGCATCTGTTAGGTCCATACCATATCTGTCTTTCATTGAGCCCATCTTTGCATGAAATATATCTCTTGGTATATCTCATTTTCTTGAAGAGATCGCTAGTCTTTCCCATTCTATTGTTTTCCTCTATTTCTTTGCATTGATCACTGAGGAAGGCTTTCTTATCTCTCCTTGCTATTCTTTGGAACTCTGCATTCAAATGGGTATCTCTTTCCTTGTCTCCTTTGTCTTTCATTTCTCTTCTCATCACAGCTATTTGTAAGGCCTCCTCAGACAGCCATTTTGCCTTTTTGCTTTTCTTTTTCTTGGGGATGGTGGTGATCCCTGCCTCCTGTACAATGTCATGAACCTGTCCATAGTTCTTCAGGCACTCTGCCTGTCAAATCTAATCCCTTGAATCTATTTGTCATTTCCACTGTACAATTTTAAGGGATTTGATTTAGGTCATACCTGAATGGTCTAGTGGTTTACCCCACTTTCTTCAATTTAAGTCTGAATTTGGCAATAAGTTCGTGGTCTGTGCCACAGTCAGCTCCCAGTCTTGTTTTTGCTTGCTGTATAGAATATAATCAATCTGATTTTGTTATTGACCATCTGGTGATGTCCATGTGTAGAGTCTTCTCTTTTGTTGTTGGGAGAGGGTATTTGTTATGACTAACACATTCTCTTGGCAAAATTCTATTAGCCTTTGCCCAGCCTTGTGCACACCAGGACCCAGGAGAAATGAGCAGTGACACCACAGGAGACTGACCCAGACTTGCCCGTGAGTGTCCAGGAGTCTCCAGCGGAGGCATGGGTCGATGGTGGCCTGCTGCAAGGCTGGGGGCAGTGAGTGTAGCAGTGCATGCATGGGACCTTTTGGAGGGGGTCACCATTATCTTCATTACCTCCACCACTAGGCCCTGGTTTGGCCCTGGTAAATAACAGGGAGGGAACACTGCCCCACTCATCAATAGAAAATTGGATTAAAGATTTACTGAACATGGTCCTGCCCATCAGAACAAGACCCAATTCCCCCCTCAGTCTCTCTCCCATCAGGAAGCTTCCATAAGCCTCTCATCCTTCTCCATCAGAGGGCAGACAGACTGAAAACCACAATCACAGGAAACTAACCAATCTGGTCACATGGACCACAGCCTTGTCTAACTCATTGAAACTATGAGCCATGCTGTGTAGGGTCACCCAAGACAGATGGGTCACGGTGGAGAGTTCTGACAAAATGTGGTCCACTGGAGAAGGGAATGGCAAACCACTTCAGTATTCTTGCCTTGAGAATCCCATGAACATGAAAAA